CATTGAAAAATGTAAAACAATTAGGATTGTGCTGATGAAGATTCTCAGTCATCCAAGTCATAGTCATTCCGTAAAAGTTCAAAAAAATCCACAACCAAGTCCAGTGGATTTTTTTTTTTACTTTTACGGAACAATTTGGATTGTGAACTGTGTCACGCTTGGACTTCCATAGAAGTTCAGAGTGATTTCTGTCGAAGTTAAAGCGCAAATGCCAACTCTGCTAAAAATATATCCCTAACTTACTATCCAGGTAACCATTTGCATGCTGTACAAATGCTCCTTTGTGTGCAGAAACCATTGATTCGCCGCAGCTAAAGCTTGTGCATAGATCTTCTCTAGCCTCTCTGTTCTCATTCTGTACACAAAGTGATAGAGAGGAGCTACAGTACCGGAGTGTCCTTCCCCCACAGACTCGGACGTGAACAGGAAAGTCTTCCCGCTGCGCTTTCCGCTGCTGGGGTTCATCTTCACTTCCTCGAAGCAGCTTAACGGAGTCCAAGCGTGAGAATAAAAGACCAGAGCTGCGGTCTGACTATTAAAAGATTAACCAAGGAGCTCAAACAGGGGCAGATTTAGTTTTCAACCTTTCTTCGGTCCTCCTGTGGAAACAGAGCCTTATAAATTATATCAGAAAAAGTTTTTATGGCCTTTCTGGACTCTGAACGCCGCTCTGATGGCTCAATTCTTTCCAGGAATGTTTTGCAGGCTGGTTAAACCAAAAAGCCACCAGATGTCGCTGTTGTGTTACTTTTTTTTTTTTTTTAATACCTGGAACTCCTCAGAGTTGTAAATGCAGCCTAAAATCCAACCGAATGAATATTGTGAGAAGGAAAACTGTTTCTTTTTAGTGAATTTGGCAATCTGGGAAACATTGTTGCTGCCATTCATCCATACATTTGTTCTCCGACTTTAGCTCTGCATTAGTGGAGGTCAGCCAGAGTTAACTGGAGGGATGACTGAACTTTAGGTCTCCATCCATACGTTATCTGACATGCTTGTCCCAAGTGGGGTCATGAGGGGTGCTGGTGCCTAGCTCCAGCAGTCAATGGGCAAGAGGCAGGGTCAGTCCATTGCAGGGCAACACAGAGACGCACAACCATTCATGCACACACTCACACAATTTAGAGAAGCCAATTAACCCAACAGTCATCCAGAGTACCCGGAGAGAACCCTTGCATGCTCAGGGAGAACATGCAAACTCCATACAAAAAGACCCTGGGCTGAGAATCAAACCCAGAACCTTTGTGCTGCAAGACAGCAGTGCTACCCACTGCGCCACTGCAGCCCTCCTTTAGGTCTTCATGATTATATATTTTTTAGAGAAATCCTAAAAAACATACTGAAAATTAGGCACTCTTATTTACTTAATTCATTGACATTAAATCAATTATTTTCCTGTGGTTTTCCTAGAGTAAAAGGTGCATACTCAGGGGTGGATTTAGGAAATTTGGGGCCCTAGGCAAAAACAGGCATGGGGGCCTCTGACATAAACATCGGCATCACCAGACCCCATTTACTGGGGCACGTGCCCCAGTATAAATGAGCTGTGCCCCAGTATAAATTTCATGAATATTTACAACAGTGATACATTTTTTTAATGCATCAAATTAGATAATTGCAACGGGAGGAGACGTATATTTCTACTCAAATGTGCAGCAAGTGTGTTGGTAACTCCAAATTGAGTTAACACATGTCACTGCATGAACTGCGGGTAAAATAACGCACTGCTCAACTGAGTTGGATGCGACGCGACATATTTTTAGTTATGGTAACGTTTC